TGCTGGAGGTGCTGGAGCTGCTGGTGGCACTGCTCAGCTGCGCCTGTTCTTTGCTCCGCCGTCTCCGTCGTCTCAGCCACCACCTGACTCTGCACTTCGCCAGGTTCTCGGTCTTCCCTCGTCTACTGGTCTTCCGTTACAGCCTGGCTCACCGCTGCCTGCTCCTTCTCCGTACACAGAGCAGCCTGGTGGCCTTGCAGAGCATCGTGAGCCTGTGTCGCGTCCTGTCTCCCCTGTCAGTTCCGGTCGTCGTGTTCCTCGTCAGTGCGAGCCGGCTGTCTCCGGCCCTCCCCTTGTAGTTCGTCGTCCTTCCTCTCCTTCACCGCGTGTTCCTCTGCCGCCTCCCCCTGCGTCCTCTCTGCCTGTCGTTGCTGACCCTGCGTCTGACCGGTTTCGTGCTGAGCACTCTACTGTCACGCGTCTGCTTGCCACTGTTGTCACTGACCCTTCGTTTGAGTCTGCTGCTGCGTCTGCCTTAGTCACTGAGCTTGTTGCCTTTGGTGCTCACTGTCGTCTAGACTACGCCGCCGGTCTTGTTGCTGAGTCTGCGTCTGTCTGTCCTCCGTCCGTCGGGGGTGAGTGTGCTCTTGGCACGGACGTCCTTGAGGACAGGCAGGAGGACCTTGAGTGTCTTGCAGCCGCTGCGCCTCATCTCGTATCCATGCTGCTTGCCCCTGAGGGAGACCCGGATGCACCAGACATCCCTACCCCGCGCTCTTACGCTGAGGCGATCGCGGGTGAGTACTCCTCTCAGTGGCAGACAGCCATGGACGTAGAGATGGCATCCTGGAAGTCCACAGGCACCTATGTCGACGAGGTTCCCCCTCCTGGGGCGAACATTGTCAGTGGCATGTGGATTTTCAGGGTGAAGCGGCCGCCAGTTTCTCCGCCTGTCTTCAAGGCTCGTTACGTGGCTCGAGGCTTCAGTCAGCGAGAGGGAGTTGACTTCTTCCAGACCTTCTCCCCCACCCCGAAGATGACCACTCTTCGGGTGCTGCTGCACGTTGCCGCTCAGCGTGACTACGAGCTTCACTCTCTTGACTTCAGCACAGCCTTCTTACGGGGCAGCCTGCACGAGGAGATTTGGCTGCGCCGCCCTCCTGGCTTCACTGGGTCGTTCCCTCCTGGTACCCAGTGGAGCCTCCGGCGGCCGGTCTACGGTCTCCGCCAGGCGCCACGTGAGTGGCACGACACACTGAGGACGACACTTGCGGCTCTTGGGTTTGCTCCGTCGACTGCTGACCCGTCGCTGTTTTTGCGCACCGACACTTCGCTGCCGCCGTTCTACGTTCTCGTGTACGTCGACGACTTGGTCTTTGCCACTGCTGACACTGAGGCTCTCGCCCTGGTGAAGTCAGAGCTGCGGAAGAGACACACGTGCACAGACCTGGGTGAACTGCGCAGCTACCTTGGCTTGCAGATCACCCGGGACAGAGCACGCCGCACCATCACACTGACTCAGTCACACATGGTGCAGCAGGTTCTTCAGCGCTTCGGTTTCACCTGGTCCTCAGCACAGGCCACTCCTCTGGCTACAGGTCACTCGCTCTCAGCTCCACCTTCGGACGAGTCCGTAGAGCCGAGTGGTCCTTACCCAGAGTTAGTGGGCTGCATCATGTACCTGATGACTTGCACTCGTCCTGACCTTGCGTACCCTCTTGGCCTTCTGGCTCGCTACGTGGCTCCTGGTCGGCACCGAAAGGTGCACATGGATGCTGCCAAGAGGGTACTACGCTACTTGTGCAGTACATCGGGCATGGGGCTCGTGCTTGGAGGACAGGGTGACGTTGTCCTCACTGGTCACTCGGACGCCTCTTGGGTTGACGACCAGGCTACGCAGCGGTCGTCACAGGGTTACACCTTCAGCCTTGGCTCTGGTTCAGTTTCTTGGCGTTCTACACGCTCGTCTTCAGTTCTCGGCTCCAGTTGTGAGGCTGAGATCTATGCCATAGCCATGGCTGCACAAGAGCTTCGCTGGCTCACCTACCTGCTGACTGACTTGGGAGAGCGGCCTCGTTCTCCTCCAGTGCTGTACGTCGACAACAAGGCCGCCATTGCCTTGTGTCAGGAGCACAGACTGGAGCACAGAACGAAGCACATCGCTCTCCGTTACTTTCTTGCTCGAGAGCTGCAGCAGCGTGGCCAGCTTTGTCTTACCTACGTGGCCACTCGGGCCAACACTGCTGATATATTCACCAAGGCACTTCCGCCTGGTGATCATCAGCGTTTCTGCACTTTGTTAGGCCTTGTGCCCACTCTTCCTCACTTGCTGTAGACTTTGTTTGTACCATGATTTATATGTATTCCTGCATGCTTGTTCTTGTAGGTAGATTTCACTGTACTGTTGTTGTTACATATATATCTCTGCATGTGAACTGGCCTTGTGGCCTTCTTGCTTGTGCTCAGACTGTATGGTGACGTTGTGATCCACCCTGAGCTTGCTTTGCACTTCCTGACTGGTCTTGTGACCCTCTGTTCTCCCCCACTCTGCCTATGGGGGTGTGTCAAACATATGTATATCTATGTTATATTTTGGGTAGGCTTAGTGGGGTACACACTGTGGGGTACAACCCCTTAGGTTCATTCTCTTTGTACCAACCCCCTCGATAGTCGACATCACTCATGCCTAGCTTCTAAGACATTCTGACTGGACGCGCAGGCACTGAGCCGAGCGAGGTGAAGGGCTTCGAAATTCAATCATGTGGGAATGGAAAATGTGAGTTTCGTTACAACGATTTCAGTACAATTATAGCAAAACAAAACAGAGGGTGGCGCTTATAATCCGTAAGCCTTCAGGGGTGGGCTTATAATCGAGGACCGGATATAAGCGCCGTCATCCTTTTATAAGCGCCGGCGCTTATCCGAGGCCTGCGCTTATATCCGGGGCCTTACGGTACAAGGTTTTATATGATTACAAGGAATACGAAAGGTTTAACTGTAACTGCAGTTGCGGTTCGATACAGCGACGACTCGGGTAACTGCTCAATAGCGAGTCAGTTATTTGTCCTTGCTGTCGCGCTGCTTTTGTCAAGTCAAAGGTCGCTGACCTTTGACCTTCGCTGCTGATACTGCATCTGGTGTTAATGCTGCAACTGCTGAAGGTCCTTGCTTGCTAATGGTGGCTGGACTGAAGGCGCCGCTGCATTCGGAGGAAGTACGGCGAGAGCTGCTGCACGCCCTGACTGCGTGTTGGCTGCTGCTGCTGCAGCTCCTGGCGTCGCCTGCATGGCACACAGATATTACATGAAACCCATTGCTCACTCCTCCCACAGCAACCCATCGTAAAATAAGAAACTATTGATAATAATAGTAATTATAAGAATAATGATCAAACAACAAGCTAAAAAACTCCCACCTTGCTCTGAGTCGTTGTAATCGTCTACGAGCCAGATTCAACCTCCCCTGCCTTTGGCCTCCTTGCTGGTCCTGCTGCTGCCCGTGCACACTGCCGCCCACAATGGACCAATCAGGAAGCAGCACCCATTCCGGCACTCCTCTGCTCGCCGCCTCCTGCCTGAGCCGCTCATCCAACCCCTCACTCCATGTGACTGTAGCGAGGGTGCTTGCAGACGCATCACCTCTTATAGCCGCATTTACTGTAGATGCAGGTTCTTGTTCTGTTAGCGGAGGTAACGGTTGAAACACACCCCATTCTTGTGTAGGTGCAACAGCAGTGTCCTGCTTAGGCTTGAAATTTCCCCTCCCGTTACTATCACCATGAAAGGTGTCGCGGCCAGGAGGGGCAGCAGGGAGGAACCAGCCGCGGAACGCGCGCTTGCAGAGGGGGCACTGGGGAAGGAGGGAGGCGCAGCTGGCGCGACTGGCGGGATTGGCGGAGTTCGTGCGGCTAGCGCAGCTCCAGACGCGGATGCACGGCAGGCAAAAGCGGTGCATGCAGGGCGACAGGGCGACGATTGGCGGTAGGGTTACCACTGGCGAAGCGGCGGAAGAGGGTGAGCTGTCGGAAGGGGGGAGGGGGGAATTTGCTGCTTCCGCCGATTTGGATTCGATTTGCGCGGCTGGCGCCGATCGGTCGCTGGTGCTGTGGGGTTGCGCGGGATGTCCTACCCTATCGGCGTTCACAAGGTTCCGCGAGGGCTCGAATCGCGAGTCCGCGAAGGGGGTCAGGCAAATCGGGCACACGTCATCGGACGGCGGTGATATTAACGGGGGGTTCGGTTTCGCGGCGTGTGATTCTAACGAGGAGTCGACACCGGTCACGGCACGTTCAGCAGGATCGGCGCTTGGACGGATGGGCGAGTCGGAGGACGCCATGCCGCATATTACCGTCAAGATAGTCGCCTTGCCGATTATTATGCCGCCGAAGACAGGAGCACAGACTTGACCGCTTGCAGTTCCTGACAATACCCGCTATTGTACTGTGCGAGATTCATCTTGCAGAACCACTGGTGTGCATTCCAAAAGAAAAAGATTAATCTCAATACACTTTAAAAACGAGAGTTTGTTTGAAGTTTTCAACGAATGTATTACCTAGTTCTCAAAGTTTATAGTGATACAGCACAAAAACGGAAAACTCTCTTTCACGTACAACGATAGCTTACAACTACACCAAGTTCACCCACCCCACTATTCTGGCATGTTTCTCGTGATGCTCTTTTTTCCTGAAATGTAGGAGATGCTTCACATCGCGACACGTGGATCAGCAGAGCACAAACTGCTCCTTGGAACTAAGCGGAGGTATTATCCCGATTCTGTTATCCTATCTCTCAGTCGTGGGAGAGTACTGTTCGATCTCGACCCATCATCTCCCGGTGCGCGGGATTAGTGTTTCTTGTAAATATCAGCGTTGGACCCAGTTATGTCATTTGGGACGAAAAACGGTTTCTGAAATGGTTATTTGGCGGAATATACTCGCTATTGAGCGCTTCACGACACCGTTCTTCGGTGTACTTAGTACTGACTTACTTTGAGAGCATGATCTCCGACTTCGTAATCATCTCGTCGCTCTTATAGTGGTGAATTCTGACGCCCACGTCGACATGGCCACAACACCTACCGAGGTGACGTGGCAGGAGATGCAACGCATGCTGACGTGTCTTCTGGAAGCAACCGAAGTTATCCGAGTAGCCAATAGTCGGAGGCAGCAGACCACTGATCTGTTAGACGAGGCGATCCACGTGTCGTCCGCTCATTGGGCGCGTCACGAGGCTTTAGTCGCCGCGCACACGCGGGTCGCCGCCCGGCGCGCTGAGCTGGACAAGCTGCGTGCTGACGTGGCGGGAGCCCAGCGTGAGGTGGAGGACAAGCGTGCTGATGTGGAGAGGCGGAGAGCGGAGCTCAAAGAGGCGAGGCACTCGTTAAGAGCTGCCTCGACAAGATTAGTGGTAAAATATGACATGCTAAATTACAAAGGGATGGTTAATCCCACTAGCAGCGAGCCTCGTTAATATCTGACCTTGTTTTGATACCCAATTCCTCCCCTGCTCTCCTCTTTACTTACTGTTATCCCTTCTCCGGTGCCCCCTTTATCTCTCCAATCCTCCCGCTAAAAATTCGTACCATTCTCCCCTCCGTGTAATCCCATCCTCTCCTCCTCCCCACCACCTTCTATAATCACACCCACAGGAAGCGGACCGGTTTCTATCCCAGGAAGGTTCGAAGCAACAGCTGACAGTGAGAAGGCGGCTGGCCACTAGACGACGACGAATGCTGGTTCAACTGGCGGGGATCATCCCTCTTTCCCCCTCCTCCCCCTCTTCCTCCCCCTCTTCCTCCTCCCCCTCCTCTCGTCCCTCCTCTTCCCCCTCATCTTCCTCCCTCTCTCGTCCCTCCTCTTCCGCCGCTTCAGTTTCTCCTCACCCTCCTTCCTCCTCCTCCGCTTCCTCCTCCTCCTCCGTCCGCCCCTCCTCCGCCTCGTCCCCCACTCCGCCAACCACACTGAGACACGTGGCAAGCGCCGATAGCAGCTGGGGGAGCGGGTGGGGCTTCTGGGGTAAAAGGGGAGGGGACGCGGGAGGGGCAGGGGCAGGGGCAGGGGAGGAAAGAAGAGGGGGAGGGGAGAGAGATGAGGGGAAGAGTGTGATTGATATTGGGGAGAATGGGGACGATAGGGGTAAGATTGAGGAAGATAGTGGAGAGAGTAAGAAGAAAGGGAGAGTGTTCAGTGATGGTATGCTGATGGATAGAGGGCGAAGAAGGGAGGATGCAGAGGGCGAAGGAAGGGAGGTAAAGAAATCTACTGATTTACATGTAACTGAAAACCTGACTGGAAATCCAGAAGCTGTAGCTACCGCTGTAGAGGAAACAGCTGTTACAGGAGCGAGGAGGGTAGGAAGGGAAGTGGGGGAGGGGAAGAAAAAGGAGACTGCAGGAACAATAGTGGATGTGACTATATTGGGGCTGCCGCTCATAACAGCACCTCGGTTACAGTCGCTGTTCAGTGGGGGAGGGGCGGGCATGGACGAGAGTGCGAGGCAAAGGCATGACGCTGCATTGGGGTTGACCGCTCAGGTAAAAGCTTTTTCTTTGCTGCCAGTGGGGTGGTGGTAGAACGGTTGTGTGGGTGGGACCGTTCTGAGGCGGAAGGCATGGATGTGAGAGTGAGAGGCCAAGGCATGACGCTGCATTGGGGTTGACCGCTCAGGTAGAAGCTCTTCCCTTGACTGTACTTGCTACGCTACCTGCACCTCCCTCTTCGCTACCTGCACCTCCCTCTTCGCTACCTGCACCTCCCTCTGCGCTACCCCATCCTGCTCCCTCCCTCCTACCTTCGGCCTCATGCCTCTTTCACTCCCCCTCCCATTCCTCCTGACCCCCTCCCTCTCCCCCCACCCCCCAGCGTGTATGCTTCTGTGCGTGCTATGTGCACCCCCCCCCTGCGCTACCCCAACCTGCTCCCTCCTCCCTCCTCCCTCCTCCCTTCTGCCTCATGCCTCTTTTTCTCCCCTTCCCATTTCTGCCCGCCTCCTCCCGCTCCCCCTCCCCCCCCCCCCCCCCCCCCCCGCGCTACTTACACCTCTGGCCCCACCCGCTCCCCCCTTATTCTTCCCCCCATACCCCAGCTTGTATGATTCTGTGCGCGTTACTTACACCTCCCCTGCGCTACCCCATTCTCCTCGCCGGCTCGCGCTGCCTCATGGTGGGCTGGCATCCCCCTGCCCGAGTGGAAGCGCAGCTGATTCACCTGCTCCCCTCCCCTCTCTCCTACCCACCAACCCCCCCACCCTCCCCCACCCCCCAGCTCGTTTCCTTCTGTGCGCGCTACTTGCATCTCCCCCTGCGCTACCCCATCCTGCTGGCCGGCTCGCGATGCCTTATGGGTACCGCCACCCCTTCCCTTCCCTGCCTCTCCTCACACCCCCGTCCCCCTTCCTCTCCATCCCCCACCCCTTCAGCTTGTATGCTTCTCAGTGCGCTACCTGTATCTCCCTCTCCGCTACCCCATTCTGCTGGCCGGCTCGCGATGCCTCATGGTGGACCGCCACCCCCCTGCCCGAGTGGAGGCCCAGCTGCTGCACCTGCTGGGTGGGGGCAAGTTTGGGACCGTTTCTGTCGCCTCATTCCCCCTTCCCCCTCCCTTTCCAACCCACCTCCCCCCACTCCCCCTCTCTCCCCCCTCCTCCCTCCCCCTTCCCCAGCTCGTTTCCTTCTGTGCGCGCTACTTGCATCTCCCCCTGCGCTACCCCATTCTGCTGGCCGGCTCGCGATGCCTCATGGTCGACCGCCACCCCCCTGCCCGAGTGGAAGCCCAGCTGCTGCACCTGCAGGGGGGAGGAGCAGGGGTGGGTGGTGCTGCTGGGAGAGGGGTAGCAGCAAGGGGAGCAGGAGGGGGAGGTGGAGGAGGAGGCGGAGCGGGACTTGGTTCCCTGCAGCATATTGAACAGCAGAAGCAGAGGCAGCAACAGCAGCAGCAGCAGCAGCAGCAGCAGCAACAGCAGCAGCAGCAGCAGCAGCAGCAGCAGCAGCAACAGCAGCAGAAGCAGCGGCAGCAGCTGCTGTATAGGTCTGCTAGTGACATGAATCTGATGCCAAGGAATGGCAGCACGGGGAGCAAGGGGAGTGGCTGGGAGAAAGGGACCGGACGGAGGGGAGACAGCAGGAGCAGTTCTCCTGAAAGAGGGGTTTCCTCTGGGGGTGTACTGAGTGATGGGAGAGGCGTGAATGGGGCGAGCAATCTCGGTGATGGGGGGTGGGAGGCGGTTGTGAGGGGTTCCAGCCAGAGCAACAGCAGTGGTGGTGGTGTTGGGAATGGTGCAATGGCAGGAGGAATGGCAGGGGCAGGGGGGATGGGAGGAGGAATTGGGGAGGGAGGGGAAAGGGGGGTGGAGGTTCAGTTGGCTCTGTACATGGGTCAATCACACGATGCAGGGCGATGCGCATGTGCCATGGTGCTGCTGGGGAATGTAAGTGCCGTGATGATTCTCACAAGGGGGAATGTGAGTGGTGGGTTTGGGGTATGTGCGTGCTGATTTGGGGTGATGTGAGAGCTGGTTAGAGAGGGGGAGGGGAAGGGGGGGTGGAGGTTCAGTTGGCTCTATACATGGGTCAGTTGCACAATGCAGGGCGATGCGCGTGTGCCATGGTGCTGCTGGGGAATGTAAGTGCTGTGCTGATTCTTACAAGGGGGATTTAAGTGCTGATTTAATGCATGAGGGTAATATAGGAAGCAGGGCCCATGGCATGGAAGCAGGGCCCATGGCATGGTGCTGCTGGGAAATGTGAATGCTGATCCTGAAAAGGTGTGCTGTTTAAAGTGTGAGTTATTCAGGACAAGGGGAATATGCCACCGTGCTGGACGGCTGTGAGACATTTGAGCATGGCATGGTGTTGGGCGGCATGGGTTGTTGGTATGTGCACTTCCCCTCCTTTCTTCAAGCGCCAAACCCCCTTCCGTTTTTCTGGATGATTTTAAACACGTTCGTAAGCTCGGGCTGTTTTCTCAACTCCTGCACCCCCTACCCTCTCCCTTCCTGTTCAACCCCGCCCATCACTTTTGTTGTTTTCTTATTTCTTTATTTTTCTGCTCTCGTCCATCAGGATATAGAGCAGCTACTTGCTTCACTCGGGCTGGTTTGGAAAGGTTCCCGTCATCTCCTCCTGTACAATCTGCTTCGCTTCTTTGCTGCAGTAGATGCGGGTCAATGTAGACTTGCATAAATCGTTGGAGCACATCTATTTCCGTGAATATAATAGCTTTCTGAGCGGCTAGCTTCCACAACCTGTTCCAGGTAAAACTCGAAGCACTATTGGTGTCGAATTCATTTATACCGAGGATTGGACTGAGGAGCTTTCGGGCATTCAATGCAAAATATCTCCCTGACGACGTTCACGTGCTGGTCATGTCTCTCGACGCGCATCGAGCCCTCAAATCTCAACTGTGCGGTTTCTTTCTTTCGTGGTCCAATTGGCAACTCTCCGCATCCCACGGCGGACAAATTTGGCAAAATACATTCACCATAAAAAAACCTCCGCGATTTGTCTGCCGACATACTTCGACGTCGAGCTGGTGCAGTACTTCGAACACGCTTTAAACACCAGAATTCTTCCTGTACAGTGTGCAGTCGATCAGGCATCAGCGGGGAAGAATCAGCAGCACATGTTTTTGGCCTAGTATTTTTTCCAGCCAGGCTTCTGTCGTAAGCTGATGTTTCGTGTGAAGCAAGGCGTTTGACCTCATCTCATCGTATAGGCGATGGATATTTACATGCGCAGGATTTTTTATTGCCGTCTTCGACGATACTTCACGTCGGTTAAATATTTCCCTTTCTCTCGCCTGTAAAGGACAGCAAGGTTCATGAGGTCGCGACGATTTTTGGCAGTCATTAGGCGCTGTAAATACTGCCACGCTTTTCTTGGCTCACCAAACTCTTTTGTCGCACATCACAGTATTGCAACTAGTGAAGGATCCCCCCGCATCCCTGGAGCCAATAGCAGATCATACCCAACGGCTGTAACATTACAGTACCTCGCGCTCCTTGACGACTTGATTTGGAGGGCGAGAGGGCGTCAAGGGTGTGCTGAGAGCTCGCGATTGTCAGGCTGAGCATTACTGCGATACGGGACGGGATGCGGAGCCACGTGTTCGGGCAAAAACGCTTGATCGCAGTGAAATGATTACTTCGTGTCCACGTGGCATCGCGACTGTTCACGGTTATCAAGGCAAGCGCCAGGTCGTTCTTCGACAGAAAGCGGCAAAATGCGCTTGATCGCGGGTCTCCACGGCGTCTTGCGATGGAATTCCAGTAGATTCGTTTGACCAGAAACCCGTGAATTTTTTGCACAGAACCAGAGCACCGCTTGATTAGGTATTGGGCAGCAGTTCGGATTGCTCGAATGCTAATGCGCCACGCCTCTCGCGCTGCACCCCTCCCGCTCGATGTGACACCACTGCAGCTGAAACCCGAGTCACGTCTGCGAAAATTCAGAAGGTGGCACACTGCTGTATGCAGCTGAAACAAGCACGAGGCAGGCTACCTTGAGGGGGGGCGGCGTGCAACCTCTCGTTTCGAAAGGAGGGTGCTGCTCTTGAACTTATCGTTACTACTAGCACTCTTATCCTAACAAGGCGGCTTCTGAGTCGACTGTGGGATACTCTCACAATCTATCGCCGCTAATACCCGCCATCTACCACTCGCCTTTTCCGCTGCTCGCTTTGTCAGTAGCGATTCCGCCATTCTCTGCGTGCGCTGCTGCTGGCAGTAACAGCGCACCCCGTTCTCCCCGGCGGCGTTGTACGACACGCCCTTGAGAGTCTCGCCACAGAAGCAAGGCGAGAACCATTTGAAGGGGGGAACAAAGCGACGAAAAGGAGCTGGGATCAGAGCAGCATAGCACATGCAGGAAGCGGAGCAGAAGGGAAACCAGCACTGCTGCCAGCACTGAGTTCTCGTTTCCCCAAAGACGCACTCAGCCCGAAGGGTTTCAACTTAAAGTGTCTTGCGCTCTGACAAGCCATCAAACCAGAAGGCAGTTGCCGCATTACCAAGACTTCAGAATTGCCGTACAGATCAAGGCTTCAGGCGAGCTTTGTTATCAGAATTCACGGCGACAATTCAGCGATAGGCGCCTAAAATTCGCTGGAGCTTCAGCGACGATCTGCAGCGAATTTTAGGCGCCTCAAAAGTCATCGATGGATCCCTTCGCCCGTCTCCCTGACTGTAACGCCTGTGGGCTGTGTTAAGGGCACTCCGCTGCGCCAAATAACACCCTCGCTTTGACCCAGTGGGTAGCGAGGTGTTACATTTGGTATCAGAGCCTAGGGTTCGAATCCCGGCTGGACCACACTTTCCGCCTTTGGCGCGAACTGAAGTGCGGTTGTAACCAGCGCGAACCCAGCGAACGATCCTCCGCTGGCCTGAGCAACCAGCGAAGTCGCAGCTAGCAGCACTGCGAAATCTAGGTCCCAGCAGCAGGGGGCCGACTCCCTGAAGTTCGTCAACGGGTACGTTGACACCAGGGGGGGACGAGTGTAACGCCTGTGGGCTAAGTGTTAATGGGCATTCCGCTGCGCCAAATAACACCCTCGTTTTGACCTAGTGGGTAGCGAGGTGTTACATTTGGTATCAGAGCACGGGCGTGAGTCATGTACGCACGGAAATTCACATCCGTGTCAATGACCTGCTCCTTGCACTCCTTGTAGGTCCTCCACTGGTGCTCCCCGCGCACAACATGCACACGCTTGATGTGCTCAGGGAGACCCTTGAAGAACTGGTGGATAACCTCGCTCTGATACCAATGTAATGCCCAGGGCTATTATAATGGCGGTTACAAGGCTTTTATAATATTCCAATACAAAATAGTAGCTTTAACTAGCCTTAATAGCCTTGGAGATGAAGATCTTCTTGATGCCTTTGATGAAAAGCACTTGGAGTAGTAGTGTAGGGAGACTTGTGAGAGAGCCCAAAAGGACTTAGAGAAACAATCCCATTTCCAATTGTTTTGTTGGAGTGGGAGGTTGAGAATGAGCTTGCTTAGCTCAGACCCCCTCAATACACCCCTTGGGGAACTATCCCAACCATGGTTTCCATGGTGGGATGGTTCCTAGGCTTGGAGCCTATGTGGCAATTGTGTTGGGTTGGAAAACCCAACTTAGAACCATTCAATGGTTGTGTTTAGGATAGAATAGATTGTAACACTTGTTTGGCAGTTTCTGATTGGTTGGAATTCCAACCTTCAACATTCTCTTGGTTGAGTTGGAAATGTTCCAAACCTCCAAAGTTGAGGCTTGGCAAACCCAAACCAAGTTTCATCCCAACCAACTCAACCATCTTCTCCAACTCTTCCTTTGTCGAGAGAAGTTCTCAACAATTGACTTAGAGAGAGATCGATGGTTGTTAGCTCGGTAGTTAGGGTAATACGTTACACTGACGATCTGCTGCTCGCAATACTCTCCCGCGTGGGCAGCGCGGCGGGTGACGTCACGCGGGCCGCAATGACGTGTCGGCGGTGGAATGAGGTGACGCGAAACGTGCCTGCGCTGTGCTTGGGATCGAGTGACGGCGGCGCGGCTGTTGTTAACCAGGCGCCGTACTTGACGTTTGAGGCAAGCGTTCGGTCCTCAGACCAACCATCCCGTCATGGCCCCTGACCTGGAGTTGTGTTCAACTGTGTACATTATCTGTTTTTGTTTTCTGCGCGGAGAACGTTCTTTCTCCTCTGCCGCTCATATTTCCGCCCTTCTTCCCCCCCTCTCCCCCCACACACATCAGCGCCAGGCATCGCAATTGGTCCTCCGCACGCAAGGCCTGCGCCAGCTCACCATCATCTCGCCTCCCGCGCCGCCTTCAAACGACGGAGGGCCGTCAAGCGGATGTCACGGAACCTCAAGAGGAGGTCCCAATATTACTAGCGGAGGTTTCGCTTCCCCAAGCGCAGCCACTTTCTGCAGACGTCCCTCTTATTCCACTGAGTCGGCGGAACTCCCGGCCTCCGCAAATTCCGCTTGCTGCAGCCAGCATGATTGCGCCAGCCGCGCATCTGCGCCATTCGGGGGAGTCCCCCCGCCCCGCCATCCGCGGGAGTTCATCTTCGAGGCGTGGATGCGCCACGTCGGATCGTCTCTGCACTCTCTCACCCTCTCACGCGCTCTTCCGGTCACGCGTTCCGCGAAGCACCCTCGCGGAAACGGCACCAGCGGCCGCGGCGGCGACAGAGGCGGCGAAAGCGTGGTGGTGAACCTGTGGGAGGAGGAGGACGCGAGTCTTCATCTCGCGCACATTTCCCGGCACTGCACCAACCTGCACTCGCTCTCATTGGGCCACGTGTCCCTCTCCGCGCCGACCCTGCTCGCCGCTCTCCAGCCCATGCCGGCCCTACAGCACCTCTCGTTCTCGTGGCTGCACGCGTCCCCCGCCGCCCTTCACGCCGTGCTTGACGCCGCGCCCAACCTCCGCCACCTCACGATTTTCATGGCGTCGGGCTTCCCTTACCTAAAACTACGCCTTCCATCTCAAATTTCATGAATCGTTTT